TGTGAGATCATGACCTGAGCCGAAGTCGGCCGCCCAACCGACTGAGCCACCCAGGCGCCCCTGTTTGTTACTCTTGAGCCGTGTCCCACCCTAGGACCCTCTGGCCTCCAAGGCAGGGCTATGTGAGAACAGAGCATCAATTGAGCACCATTTAGTACCTGGTGTGGCTAGTGCTAGAAATGTAGAAAAGGAAAAAACAAAACATCGTTCCTGCTCCTCATCTATTCTTTCAAGAAATAGTAATTAAATGCCTTCAATGTTTTCAGACACATGTGAAGCACTAGAGATATAATGACAACGAGACACATGAAACCCCTGCTTTTACGGAACTTAAGGTCCGGTGGGGAAAATAGGGCAGTGTAGGCGGTGGGGAGAAGAGGAGAGGAGTAAATAAACAGAGAAGATGTTTGCAATTTTTTTAATGTTTATTGTATTTTTGAGAGAGACAGAGAGAGAGAGAGCACGAGTGGGAGAGGAGCAGAAAGAGAGAGAGAGAGAGAGAGAGAGAGAGAGAGAGACAGAATCTGAAACAGGCTCCGGACTCGGAGCTGTCAGCACAGAGCCTGATGCAAGGCTCGAACTCACGAACTAGGAAATCATGACCTGAGCTGAAGTCAGTGCTTAACCGACTGAGCTACCCAGGTGCCCCTGTTTGCAATTTTTTAAAGTTTATTTATTTATTTCTGGGAGAGACAGAGACAGTGCAAGTGCAAGAGAGAGAGAGAGAGAGAGAGAGAGAGAGAGAGAATCCCAAGCAGGCTCTGCACTGCAAGCATGGAGCCTGATGTGGGGCTTGAACCCACAAAGCCATGAGATCATGACCTGAGCTGAAACCAAGAGTCGGATGCTTAACGGACTGAGCCACCCAAGTGCCCCATTGATTGCAATTTTTGATAAGCACTAGAAAGGAAGCAGAGAGGGTGATGAGGCCAGATAGGGAATCGAGGCAGAGCAAGGGTCTCTCATGGGGTTAGCAGCCAGGGTCCTGGCAGGAAACACGTGGTACACTCACCATGGGACACGGAGGGGAGTTTCATACCTTGGAGTTAGTAACAGTGGGAGCCATTCCAGCATTATGTCCACAGAACAAAAGGAAGAAGGGAGAGCTGATGGGGGGGAGGGGGGGCATTTGATGGGAGCTGCCACATGCCTGTACACAGCCACCAATTAGTGGCCACGTAGACTGGGATCCAGCTCAGGACTTCCAGTTTAGCGCGTTCCCCGTCCCCGCAGTTACTGTAACAGAACTTTAAAACAACAGAACTTCATTCTCAGTGCTAGAGGCTTAGAAGTCCCAAATCAAGGAGTCTGCAGGGTTGGCTTCTTCTTGGTGGCTCAGAGGAAGAATCTGTTCCCTGCCTGTCTTCTAGTTTCCAGCGATTGCTAGCAGCCCTTGGCATCCCTTGGCTTGCTGCCACAAAACTCCAATCTCTGCCGTCATCTTCCCCTGTGTCTGTCTGTCTCCATATTTCTTCTTCTTCTTTTTTTTAATGTTTATTTAGTTTTGAGAGAGAGAGTGTGTGTGTGTGTGTAAGTGGGGAAGAGGCTGAGAGAGAGAGGGAGACAGAATCTGAAGCAGGCTCCAGGCTCCTAGCTGTCAGCACAGAGCCCGACTCAGGGCTCGAACCCACGAACCGCGAGATCATGACCTAAGCAAAAGTTGGACACTTAACCGACTAAGCCACCCAGGCGCCCCGGAATTCACTTTTAATTACAGGGAAAATGAAAAAAAAACCTACTGGAATCTAGAAGACCTTTATTTATGCAGGTGCTGTGCTGTAAAATATTCTAATTGGCGTTGTTAATGAAGCTGGATTTACAACCTATTAAACTAAACAAAGAGCTTATGTGTAGTTGAGTAACCAGTTGAGGGTGAAATCTAGTGTACTTAAGTGACAGTTTTCTCTTTTTTATTTGTGTTCTATTCAGTGTAAGAAGATGCTGGCTCTCTTGCTATGAAGTGGCTTTATTCTAAGACTCTGTCTTTATCCACCTGAAGTACAAAGTTTACAAACCCCCTTTGGCAGCACTGGGAAATCTATTTTTTCTAATGTTTATTTATTTTGGGAGAGAGAGTGAGAGCAGGGAAGGGGGGAGAGAGAGAGAGAGAGAGAGGGAGAGAGAGGAGAGAGAGGATCCCAAGCAGGCTCCTTGCTGTCATTGCAGAACCCAATTCGGGACTTGATCTCATACACCGTGAGATCATGACCTGAGCTGAAACCAAGAGTTAGACATTTTACTGACTGAGCCACCCAGGCTCATTTCACCCAGGAAATCTCTTTTTAATCATTTCAAATATACCGAAGTATATAATCAATGTATTGCTGTTTTCTTTTTAAATATAGATGTTCCACACTTGAATTGGTCTTTGTTCTCCAAGAGCTATAAAAACTCCAGACTTTTCATTTATTTTATTCATTCAACCAGCATGTATTTATCAAGCAAACATGTGTCAGGTAATGTTCTAGGGGTGGGGATACAGCGGTGGACAAAATACCATGTTGGTAAAGGAACTGTGGAGAGAGAGAACAAGAGATATACGGCTAGGAAATGGCAAAGCTGGATCTGAACCCAGACAGCCTGGCCCCAGAATTCACGCTGCACCATCTGCCTCTGATTGCTCTTATACGTTGCTCTCTGCCTTCCACAAAAGTTTACAACTCTCTTGAATCCAATAAAAATGCCTCTGTCAGTTTCTAAATCTACACAATGCAGAGCCTTGTGCATCTTCCACATTTCTTCTCTGAGACTCAGTTTCCAAATTTCTGAAAATGAAGGTACTAATTTCGACCTGCTGTGAGGATAAATGGAATTAGATGAGATGCCTGGATGCAATTTGTGACAGATCATAGGTATTTAGTGAAGTTAATTTTTTTTCTTTTTCTCTTTTTTTTTTTAAATTTTTTTTAATGTTTTATTTATTTCTAGGAGAGAGAGAGAGAGACAGCGTGAGCAGGGGAGGGTCAGAGAGAGAGG